AAACATGGCGCATACGCGCAAACCCGCCAGTCTCAGTCCCTTTCCGCCTCTCTCGCAAAGGAATGTGGGTGTCTGTCTGCTTCTACCACCGTCGTACGTACGCCCTCTACGTAGTACCTAGTAGAGCTATTTTATCCATAACCCATACTCCGTACCCTACTGCTACTACGTACCGTTACGTGCGACCCAGGCGGCTTAGACAGCGGAACGGTTGAAGGCGAGACGTAGTAAGTGGTACCCGGGGAGGGAGGACTCGGGAGGAGTCCCTGAGGTGTTCTTCTTCGTTGTTATTCTTGTCTTCTTGGCTCTGTGGGATTATTCAAGAAAGGAACAGTTAAATGCGAGAAAGGAGACCCCTCGGAAAGACTGGAGCCTGTAGCAGCATTATCATCTTGGCAAAGAAACCGAAAGCTGCAAAGAAAAAAAAACACCTCCAAAAAAATCCAGTTCCATAGGTGCTCCATGGTCTGCGTGGGGATTCTTTGCCATGGCGGGACTCGGGATGCTGCACTAATACCATGACCGGGATCACCACACACCCTCCACAAGCCCACTCCCACACCCTCACACCTCTATCCCTCACCCGTCTCCCGTCACCACACGCCTCTCTCTCTCTCCTCTGGCCCAGTCTCTCAATCACACTCCCATGTATGAATACACGAATCCCACTCCATCCACCTCCCACACATCCATTCTATGTACTTACATATTAGCTCCTCCTGCCCTGCCGCGCATCCCTAATGTCCGCTCCGGTCTTCTTCTCTTACCTCTTACTTCTTGGCATCTGCGTGTTTTGACATCCTTCGGTAACATAGACATAGACCTGACCTCGACATCACGGTCTGAACACCTGCAGCAACAAATTTCATCATCACTTCCTCTGCTTCAGAGTTGTCCACCTCGCCTCGCCCTTGGTCCCGTCCTCTGGAACTCGTCTTATATACCGCCATCGACTGACCAGCTCTAACGATACCCATAAACCCGCTCCCTCTCTGTTTTTGATCGACTCTCTAGAAATCGAAAGGATTATTCTACGCTTTCTCTCGCTTATTCTAGTCGCTGCTATTCCCCATCGAACTTGATTCGAGGCAGTCAACAAACAAACAACTTTCATCGGCTCCTCTGGCTCCTGTCACATCCACCTTTACCTCCCTCCTGCCTCGCATCGGCCACCTCCCGAAGACAACCTCTTGGCATTACGAGGCCTCCAGAAGACTTGACAAACGACTGCATCCCGCCATTTTTTTGGAACTTGGGGATTCTTTTTGCCGTCATTGCTACCGACTACTCATACATCATTCTGGACCTCGATATTCAGAATACCGCCCAAGTGACACCAATAACGCATCTAGCCAAGATGCGCTTGAACCTTATTTTCCCCTTCGCCGTTCTGGGCCTCACATCAACTGTTCTTGCGGCACCTCAAGCAGCTAGAGACGTCAGCCAATCCTCACCGCCAGTCATCCAAAAGCGCGAGGACACCAAGTACTTCCACGAGCCCTGCTGCGGCGAAGAGCTTGGCCACTACGATATCCGTTACTTCAAGCAAGCAGTGGGCTACGACGACCACCGCGTTGTTCTCCGCAATCTCGTCCGCTCGTACCTGACCATCACCAAGAAGCTCAAGGTTGAGACATGGCTCGCCCACGGCACGCTGCTCGGATGGTGGTGGAACGGCAAGATCATGCCCTGGGATTACGACCTGGATGTTCAGGTCTCGACGGCGACTCTGTACTGGATGGGCCAGAACCTGAACCGCACCGAGCATGACTTCGACTGGACCGACAAGGATGGCAACGCCAGAAAGGAACGCTACCTGCTCGACGTCAACCCCCACGGCACTGACAAGGACCGCGGCGACGGCCAGAACATCATTGACGCCCGCTGGATCAATATGGCCAACGGTGCCTTTATCGATATTACTGGCCTTGCCGAGCGCGACCCCTCCGGAATGCCTGGTGTCTGGAGTTGTAAGAACTACCACCGCTACCGCACCACCGACCTTTTCCCCATGCGCGAGACCGAGTTCGAGGGCGTTCCCGCCACCATTCCCTACAGCTTTGAGCGCATTCTTTCTGAAGAGTACGGCACCAAGAGCTTGGTGACTACCGAATGGCAAGGGTAAGTTTAGCGATCTGCGTTGGGATCCATGCTTTTTTACCCCCCCAAATAAGCTTTGATCCTGGCGGTGGAATTCCGACTCTTATTTTCACGACTAACACGATATGCAGACACAAGTGGGAGCCGGAGCAAAAGGAGTGGCTCAAGACGCAGCAATAGCTTGAAGTGGTTTCCTTCCACTGATTGCGAAATCGGCATGATTGGAATTTGGATTGGTTCAAGCGATGGCTTTTCCAAACAGCAACACAACTTTTTTCTTTTATTCCGATTGGAAGCAAGAAAACATGGGCATTTGGGCGACAGCAATTGGCGTCGCCGTACGCCGACATGCATTGGCGGCGTTTCCGGACATGGCATAGGCATCGCATCAAGGCGTTCTAGGAAAGGGATATCATACCGGGAGGACACTCGGACGAGGTCACTCTCTCTTTTTTTTTTTTTTCTTTCACAGCATTCATGAGAAAGGCGGCATTTTGTACGAGTAACAGCATGGCTCACCCGTTGGGTAGAAAGATGTCATCAACTTAGATGAACCATCGCATTGAGGGCTAGATGGTCATACAAATGAGTATGACGCGAATCACAATGCTAGCACCTACTTGGGCACCCATTGTTTTTAAGAGCGGACATTCATCGTGATAGAGTTGACTAACGACTCCATGACCATCGACGTCAATTCATGTCCCATGTTCAGACCTCCGCAACGCCTGCGCAATGCTTAATCCAGAAAAGCAAAGGGAAAAAAAAGAGAAACATCGGACCGACGCTTCAGTGTTGCTCCGAATACCATGCAATCCTTTACGAAGAGGGGCCAGAGTCAGGCTTTCCTCCGTCCCTCCTCTCCATGTTCATCTTTTTTGCTCTTTCCTCTGCGGCCTTGGCAAGGATCTCTCGTCGGCTCAAACCAGCGTTGCCACCACCGCTTCCTCCCACGACGAAATCGCCGCCTTCCCAACCGCCGTGGTCCTCGACGTCCTCCTCCTCGTCTTGTCCCGGCGCATAATACGAAGACCCTTCTCCGACCGTGTGCCCGCCATGCTTCCAGTCCGCCGCGTCGACTTCGCGCTCAATCTGATGGCACAAGTCCCAAAAGTTGCGATCGTGATCGCTATGCACGTTGTGCGCCAGCTCGTGACACAACGTCTTGCGAATGGTCTTGTAATCTCTGTAGCCGTCGTGTGCATCCGTTCTCAGCCTCAGCTCGATTGCTTCGCCGTTATTGCGGTTCAGACCGAGGAGTCGAGTCGTCCCCTCGTGGTTGGACTGCGTGTTGGACAGAGGCTCCATTTCCGTCAAGAGGCCGACGCTGAACTTGTGCTTGCGCATGGAGGCGCGGATGCCCGGGTCCTCCTTCAGCTTCTCGAGGAGCGCCAGAGACCTCTCTGGACGCGGAAGGCCTGCTAGTGGCCGGACGGAGAGGAAGGTGTACGTGCTATCCGCCTGCGCGCGCCCCTGGTCTCTCCTCCTCGAGGACCGGTTCTGTCTGCGCGCGGCGCTGCGGGCAGCGTTTCGCTTCGCGGCGAACTCGGATGCGGCCTGGAGGGAGGCGACCTCTTTTGCCTCGACGCCCATGAGCATGATCTTTTTGTTCTGTAGGTCGACGAGGGACATGTCGGGATCTTTGAAGGGGGGTTTCAGGAGGCCGAGTTTCGGGACAATGAACTTTTGATTTGAGGCGGGGATCGAGAGGGTGTCTTCGACATCTTCGGACAAGTGAGTGAGTGTTCCATCCGATGGAAATTTGAAGGTGTGTGATGTGTTGCGGTGGGTGAGTGTGATGGTGATGGCTTCATCGGCGGAGTCGTCATAGTCGGACTCGCAAGAGTGTGGTTCGGCCATGGTTGGTGGGGGTTCGAATTGGTGATCGTAGTCGGGTTTAGTGTATCCGTATCCGTAGAGCTTGGTTTTTTGCTAGTAGGGAAGTACTACGTAAGGTTAGAGATGTGCAGGGTTGCAAGGAGTGCGCCAAGTTGTGCGTCTATATACAGAGGTGTGTGGCACTCATGGAAATGTTGGGAAGCACAACGAGTGCGGGTTGAGGCGCAGATGGCCACCCCGTGATGGGACTCTCGGAGGTTTGTCATTCAGGCAGCTTTGTAATACGTCACATCTTGGCGCACCTGGGAACTCCCCGACCTCCGTCGCGTTCGGGGCAGCGGCCTGGACTTAAAAGTGGAGTCCGCGATTCCCGTAGCGCAGATTCGGGGATTCCGCTCCGATTACCTACCTTACCTAAGACGCCTCTCTACTTCGACGATTACCTCAGCATCTGTCCATGAGTCTGAGGTGCTGCACCTTGCTGAAGGACCCCCCCACAGCGGGTAGGTGCCTTAGTCTCCAGGAACGAAAGAGCGCAAGCCTGGAAGTGTCTCATCTTTTCGTTGCGTGCCTTACCTAATCTAAGCCCCTGCCAATCTGTTTCGCATTAGGTAAGGCGGACAACAGCTCCCGTGGCCGCTGGCCAGTCACTGTACCTTATGTTACTGCGTAGTGTTTAGTTGTGTGGCTCGAGTGTTCGGTTCCAGCTTCCAGTGAGCTTGCAATCGCGTTCGTGTCCTTTCGACCTCCTGGAAACCCAAAAAAAGCTGCCAGCTGTGCCAAACGCAGTCTTGAAGCTCCCTCCCCAGCAACCCAAGAATTCCAACGTCACGACGCCAAAACATCGCGAACCCAAACGAAACGACACGTCACGAAGACGCTTGACGACGACGAAGAAAACCGCTGGCGTGCAACACGATCTACGCCCGCTTGATTACAACCATCCGATAAGCCGCGCGCGCGCTGTCACTGGCAGCTCCAAGCTCCCTCCGAGTTGAAGCTCCCTCCCGCCCCAAATCGTCAATCGCGATCCATCGCCTCGCCGCAACCAATCTATCACGATGCTCAATCTCTTCCGCATTGCCGGTACGTGTTGCCAAGATCCTCGATACTACGACTGCTTGCTCCGGGGACTAACATGACGGGTTTGCAGGGGACTTGTCCCACCTTGCCAGTATCGGCATTCTCCTCCACAAGATGGTGCAGCTGAACGTGAGCTTTGCGGATTCCCGCCATGTCGTCACACCCATGACCCTTATCTAATTCTTTCTCAGAGCTGTTCTGGTATCTCGTTCAAGTCGCAAGCCCTTTACTTCCTGGTGTACATCACCAGGTACCTTGGTAAGCCCCCTTGTGCCTTCTCTTCCATCTCTGATTGACCTGAGCTAACCGGCGCTTGTTTGTCTCCCAGACTTGTTTACGACCTCTAGTCTATGGAATCTCGTTTTCAAGATCCTCTTCATCTCCTCCCAAGGGTACATCGTTTACCTGATGACGACCGCATACAAGCCAACCAACGACCCCAACCAGGATACCTTCCGCGTCCAGTATCTGCTCGGCGGAGCTGCCGCTCTGGCCATCATCTTCCCCTACTCTTACACCTTCTGGGAGATCTCTTGGACCTTCTCCATCTGGCTCGAGGCCGTTGCCATCTTGCCTCAGCTTTTCATGCTTCAGCGCACTGGCGAGGCAGAGACCATCACCACGCACTACCTCTTCGCCCTAGGTATCTACCGTGCCCTGTACATCCCCAACTGGATCTACCGTTACTTCACAGAGGTGAACCACAAGGTTGACTGGATCGCCATCACCGCCGGTATCATCCAGACCATCCTTTACAGCGACTTCTTCTGGATCTACTACACCAAGGTGATGAAGGGCAAGAAGTTTAAGCTGCCCGTCTAAACGACGTCTTCAACCCCTACCCACGACGTCTCCTACGGCTTTCGACCGAGTAACAACCGCTTGGTTGCGGGCGCCGCGGAGAGCAGAGTCCTGGGTTGTAACAAAAGCTACGAATAAGCGCTGGAGCCAAATGGCGGACCATGACCTTGTTCTTTTTTCGTCCAGTCTCTCAACAAATATTGGGATTTCCTCAGGCACACAACGCAAAATCAGAAGGAAAAAAAAAAGAAAGGGGTGGCCTCAGGCTGGAGGATAGGGAATATTCTCCGCGATGGATGGATGCATGGCTGGCGTTGGGAGATATGGTTAGTTTTTTTGCATGGACGGCCAGACAGCCAGGAATCCAATCCACGCACAGATGGATGTGTTGGTTGAGCTGCTCACAAAGTGCCCACAGATCGACGTGATCGAGAACGAAGAGGAAAAAGACCAGGACACCCACTGGTATATAGATGGTCAATGTGAAGAACGTTTCCAAATTTCCACGACCCTCACGCTCGCGGTCGCGCAACATGTTTCCCCCCACCCATCCACACTCACCTTACTCAACGATCTTCACAAACACAAACACAACAACTTGCGCACACACACATTTCAGCGGCTATGGCACGCGTTGGGCGACTCGTTCTTTTCGGTTAGTTCGCCGGCTTCCGAAATCTTGTTGCAGTTCTTGGGACGTCGAGTGAAGGTCTGTCCCTGCTGGCTTATAAGTTTTCGTTGCCTTTGCCTAACTTGGAGGGGGAACCAGACCCTGAACAAGGGCAATCTGGTGTGGTGGCAGTCGGCGGACGATTCAAGGTAATGAATGTCGCCATCGGTTCCTTTTGGTTCCCCCGGCCACCCCGACCTTTTCACCTGGACCGGGTTCGAGTCAAGTGACCCTGGACAAGGATATGCGACACCAAGGAGCTTGAGGATCGACACTGTTGGAAGACGATCCCGCAATTGTAATTCTTCTCCGCTTGGGAGCCTCAACGGACCAGGGATCCAGTCCAACTTTGGCTTTTGAGACAGCACCAAGCTCGGAACGCAGCCGAAGGTTGAAGCCGCTGGCGCAACAAACACCTCCCAACTGCAGGCATAAACTTTTCTGTCGTTTCTGTCAGCGTGCTGTTTCCAAATTCACTTGTGAAACCATGCATGCATTACAGCCAACTGGGCTCTGGGCGTCTGACCGAATAAGAAGATGGGACGGTGGCGCGCTAATCTGATCTCCCCCAGTCGGCGGCTGCTACTATCGTGACGAAAGAAGCCGCCGTGTGGCCCCGTCCCTCAACCATCCTCCCCAGGTCCTACTCCAATGAAGCCGACTGGATTATCTGGGATGTGATATCGGTGAGGAGACGGGGTCAACGAGTCTCGACCCGCGCCGGCGTTGCCCAGGTAGGCTGAAAGCCGTGGGGCTATCGTTGTTCGACGGTTAGGATGAAGCGGGCTCATGGGCCATAACATGGGCGAGGGCCGCTGACCGGGCCGCCTGGAGCCTGTCCTTTCCTGGTTTGGTCTTTTTCTTGTGTTATTCTTTTTCAGTTCGTTTCGAAGTACTCTTGCTGATTATTAGTCTTCTTGTTAATGGTGATTTGAGAATTGCTTCTTTCGTTCGGGCTACCTACTACGGATAATATGAATACTGTGAAGAGGAGGAACACATAATTCGACGACAATGAAATCATGGTGAAGGCTTGCCTCCCACGAATAGTACTGCTCTGTGTTCTGGCCTCCCTTGTGTTGGCGGCAGTCGCGGCGGCGGATGAAGGAAGTGGGCGAAGAGCAAGATGGGTGAACAACGGGGGAGACCACAGGTCACCGGCGGAACCTCAAAGGAGGAGGAGGGCAGGCCATGATCTGGTCGAGGACTTATTGGGCAAGAGGGTGTTGCCGCCGACGGCATCAACAGACGACAACAAGCCAGTCCGTCTCGAGGACCGCGTCGTACTAGCGGTGCCGACACCAGCGGCTCTCTTCGGGCGACAAGTAATCGGCAACCCCATTGACGCCATCAACTCGGCATCTCGATCAGCACAGCAAGCCATTGCCTCGGCGTCTCAGTCTGCTCGGGAAGCTATTCAACAAGCAAATGATCAAGTGAGACAGGCTGGAGACCGACAGAGACAGGCGGAGGAACAGGCGAGGCAGGCCAACGATGCGGCCACCCGGGCCTCGATATCGGCCAATAATGCCGTCGTCCAGGCGCAGGCGAGCGCTAAGGAGGGGATTCTCAACGCCCAAAACGCGGCCAAGGAGAGTGCGAGTAAGCAGGTTGCGGACAACTTTGCTATGGTCACGGCGAGTGCGCAGACGCAGCTGGCTTCTCAGATTGCGAGCATCCAAGCCAGTGCTAGCGCAAGTGCTGCACAAGCCATTGCTGTTGCGACGCAATCTGCCAGTGCGGCTATATCGAATGCACAGCAGCAGGCACAGCAACAGATTCAAGCTGCGAGGGTACGTGGTTCTTTCATGGTCACGCCGTGGTCGTGTGTCATTCAAGATCTCTAATCTTCAGCACAGGATGATGCAAACTTACGTGTATCACAAGCACAAGGCGCCGCGGTTTCGGTCACACAAGCGGCTCTCGCCGTCGTGGGAGCCATCATCGGCTCATCGCTGCTCACCATACTGGGCTTCTACATCTTTACTCGATACCGGCGTAACAAGCGCAAGGACCAGACGGCACGGGAGCTTCGTCGTGAAATCAGCTATCCGAAGCAGAATACTCTCATGACGACCAACGCACTGGCTATGAACAACGGTTACCCGCAAGACGTGAAGCGTCCAATATCACCGACTCGTCCAGAAACAGCACGTACGACGGGATCATCTGGAGGCATGGGCTATGCGGTCAGTGACTTTGGTGATGGGCAACCAAACTTTTCTCGACAGACGACTTTTGTGAGCAGTACCGCGCCGCAGATGGGCATGGGTACGATACAGAGGGAGCAGTCGGTGTCGAGGAGGCCGGTGCCACCTTCGCCCAAGAAGCCGCCCTATTCTCTATTCCCGCCAAGGTCTAGGGATGGTCCACCGGCGACGTCCTTGCCTGCCACCCCGGCCCCTGCTCGAGATCGAGAGAAGGAGGCTCCCCCTCCTCTCACGATAAATCCAGGTACAGGCCCACCACCTGCGTCAGTACAAGCGCAGGCACAGGCTCCGGCAAACAATGAAAAGCTGGGTAGGGTGGACGAGGAAAGCGATGAGTTTGGGGAGGGCACGAAGAACTGGCTAAGACGGACGCAGACCGTGAGTCCGTTTGGGGACCTGGCAGACACCCCGACAGGGGAGAAGGATCCAAATTGGCCGTTTGCGAGGTCTAATTCGCCGCCTCCGCCAGCGAGGTGAGAGCGATGGGCCTAGAGGCTCGCGGGGTTGGAAATGGTCCAGGGAGGGAGAGCCACAGACGTTGCATCTGAAAGTATCCAATGACAGGTATCAGAAAAGAAACGGAAACTTTTTAATGCGCTCAGAAATCTCTGAGTAACGTTCATTATTACATTGTTCTATTATCTATTCCTCAGGGTCATGATACCCGAACTTTCATATTGTTACTTGAATTATAACACACAAATGTATTATTATAGTCTGACATTCATGCGAGACGAGAGATGGAGGTCGTCAGTAAACGCCCATCTTCTTCCGCCTTACGATAAGTGAGAGAGAGAGAATGGTGTGTGTGATGTCTGTGTGTCGTCCTGGTGTGTTGGATCGAAGCTTGGCAACAGAGAGTTTGGTCTCAAGTTCGAGGCCGCCTCCACAATAGACTATCGTTGCCGACACCTTTTCTGCCTCGACTACTTTTACCGCAGTTGTTGACGAGGGTGTGTTGTCGAATAGTCGGGCTCGTATCTCCGTCACTTGTTTCGTTGGCTTTATCCGATGCCCAGAGCCGGCAGCACGTGGGAGAGGAGGATGATGATGAAGAGGAGGAGGAGGAGGAGGTTGCGGCATCCGCGCCCGCGGGCGAACCGGTTTCTATGCAACTCTGTTAGAGAACTGGTTCCCCCTCTCTGCTGTGTTTGATCGACGGTTGACAGGTGGACATGACTCTGTATTTCTCCCCTCTCTTACATCCTCTCACCCGCGCCACCTGCAGTCTCTCAGATTTTCCCTGGTCTTGTATGTGTGTGTGTGTGTGTGTGTGTGTGTGTGTTTCTGTGTGTTGTCGCCATCCTTTGGGTTTCGCTCAAACGCCTGATCGCTTACCTCGATGCCCAGAGGTGGTATCTGACGAACGACCAGAGGAACTGAGGCAAAGCTTTTGGTCAAAGTCTATCGCGATGCCCAGGATGGACGGGAGGGAAGCGTCGATCTGCACGGCCTCTAGTTCACGTCGTAGATGATCAACGTCCCTTTCATTGTGGACATTGTCGTCACCATCGCCATCATCTTCACAGCAATCCTCCTTTTGTGCTTGACGCTGGCTCTCCGCTGCTTTTAGTCGGAGGACGGCGATCTGCTGCTGGAGTTGCCGCGCGAGATGTCGATCCATCTCGCTGGGCGACGAGGACGTCACTGAGATGGCGCCCCGGCGACGGGGCCGTCTTGATGTGGATTCCGGGGGTAAAGAAAAGGAACGGGGCGCGTCATGACGGGTGAGGAATAGGCCGTCTGGTACGGAGTGGCTCCATAGACCCGATGAGGAGGTTTTCCGTGATGGCGGCCGAGGCGGTGTCCAGAGCCATTGGAAATAGGAGATATCCTCCGCGCGACTTCTTTTGAAAGGCGAATCTTGATATTCCTCTTCATCCTCCTCTGCATGGCGCTTCCGTCGCTGGCTTGTTTGTGCCATGTTGGTGGTTCATGCAAGGACCGGGGTCCTCGCTTTCGATGCTCTCTGTTGACTAGGGAGGCGATGACTATGAGAATCAGGTACCTCTAAGGTGGAAAAGCCAATCTTTCAAACTGCGATTTCAATGAGACTAAGTAACGATCTGGTGTAACGATGCTAGAGCTTCAAATGAACAATGCCCGATTGTGGAGTTGAAGAGGTGAGATGAAGTGAAATGAGGTGACGAGACCGTAAGTGAAGCTGTGTCTCGCTGCCGGTTCGTGCGCTGGCGGGGTAAAATCGACGGTCCGCCGCCTGGCGCGAGCTTCACGTTCCGGATCGAGCTAAATGGGTTCTCCCAGGGAAACAAAGATATCCATTCCATAAGTCCGTCTAACCTTCTCAAGGCCCATAGTGACCGCTTTGCATGATTTCTCGGATCTTTGGGACGTAGTATGAAGTTGGGTCCGGAAAAAAGATGAGACCTGTCATCTCGGTCTCTTCGGAAGCGTTCTGGTATAGTTCCCTCTTTTTCCATATCATTACATATCCACACCATTATGAGGAGGGACTGGTGTCGTCGGTGCTTCGTCCCATCTTTTCTGTTGCGGATGAAAGTTTCAGTCGGTTCGCCAAGATTTCGCAGTGCAGATGAGACTGTAACTGCCGGGGGGCTTTTGTCCCGTCTTCACCCCAGCCAGAGCTTGCACCATATGCGGCCTAAACTTGAAGACGGGATGCCCCGGTGAGGTGGACCACGATGCGGCGGGTGATTTTATGAGCTCGGGTCACAACCCGACAATAGTAGCCCTACGTAAGTCCACTCGGTATTAATCATGCGGGATACAACATCGCCCCCTGTCGCTAGGAACCCGAGAATGTCGGTTCCAGAATGATCTGTGCTTCGAGGCTCGTTTGCCAAGTGCGCTTTAACCACTGAGAGAGTGACTCTGTCTTACTCTTGCTTACCTAGACCGCATCTATCCCAAAAGGGCGTTCGTCGCTCATAAGCAGACTCATAAGCAGACACAGGATCATTTGAGCAATGCAGATGTTGGTAGACCACACCCTATACCGTCTCATCTGGGTATGATCACCGGATGGCAGGCCCGATCTGTCGAAACGCTAGGTCTGAACTCTCGGCCATTGATGCAATGTTTGTGATGCTATTGCCCGCGCAGAACTCTTCACATATAATACTAAGCTGGCTATAGATTATGCACTAGTTCTCCGTCATTAATCTGTGAACCCCGTCAACCGATTGTGACCAAAATCTTCACCTAATAGTCTATGAGGTGACCTCTGCCATCTCGCCTCTGTTGTCGCCCCCAATACCCAGGCGGTCACCCGAATGCGCAAGCCTTAGCAAAAACACTGAGCATGAGATCTTACTGAACACCTGCCGCACCGGATCTCGCGTCTGAGCTGACGAGCCTCATTCGGCAACCTCTACCCTCTATGGCCCAGTTGGCTAAGGCGTCCGACTGTGAATCGGGAGACCCCTGGTTTGAGCTCAGGTGGAGGAGTTCAAACGCTGTTGCGGGTGCTTGCTTTTGCTTTTGCGCTTCCCTGGGGCATTGCAGCAGCCTGGACCAGCGACGATATAAGGTGGTGAGGTGGGGAGCCAAGGGACGGCGGAAGTTTTGCGGGGAATGAATGTTTTTCGAACGGTGATAGACAATGTGAGATGCTATGCTGGGTGGGTATCGAGCGAACTAATCATACAACAAAGAACATAAGGAGGGCTGGCAGGGAAGCTCCCATACACTCCTTCGAAGAGCCAACCTGTCCTATTAACGACGACTCGCTGAACTCCATTGCCTATCCCATTGCTCCATCTGTCCAGCTACACGATTGGGCCTGGTCGACGACTGGCCTGTGACCCAGAATCTGTCCATCGGGTCGGATGAGCGTGAGTAGCTTGTGGTAGTATATGACGCTTGATTGGCAGGTGTATCGCGTCTCTGCCCGCCGGTGTTTGCAGACATGGAGTATTGAGAGTAGCTGGCAGGCGTTAGGATTGGTCTTACAAGGTGCAAGGGAAGAGGAGAGATTAGCCGTCGTACCTCGGAACGGGACGCTGGTAGTAGCTGGATCCTGACATATTGCGTTGTGGAGGGGCGGGTATGATGAGGTTGGTGACAAATGTGCAAGATAAGTGAGTGGATGTTGGTTGTTAGGATCGTGAAGATGATGTTGGTTTGGTCTGGCCTTGAAAACTACACGACAACCCAACAGATCAGGCCTTTTTATAAAGTATGAAAGGATGTAAGTGAGAGGTGGTCTAGCTTGAACTTGGGAATAGGCAGCTGTATCGCCTACTGCAAATACAAAACGCGAGGAAGTGGACAAACACATCATAGTAAATCCTTTTCGAAACGATACGAGTTGGTATTGTGATAAAAACAGACCTAAGGGCACTGGATATCATGGTGGAATTAGGATTGAAAGGGAATAGTTAGGAATTACAATCGGAAATAATGGAGTGGCCATACACTAGAGCATGGCTGTGATGCTACGGAGAAAATCGAAGATGGGCTGACAGGGAAGTAGCTTAGCTCCGCAGTCACTTGACAGTAGAGACTGACATGGGAACATTGGATTAGGAACGTAAACCTTGAAGCATTGGCTGGTAATGAGCGATGGCCTCCCTTCCCGACCTAAAGAACGATAGACTGCCGGCAATAATGCTTGATAGCAATGTTGAAGAGTAGAAGTCGGAATAGAGAAAATGCATCTGGAAAAAAGACGGAGGATTGGGGACAAGGGGAGGGTTGATCCCGGTTGGGACTGGCCAGAACAGTCGCGTATGGAGGGAGCTTGGGTAACTTTTTTTCGAAGCTTCCATGCATCGCCAAGTAGGTAGTTTTGCCACCTCGCGTGGATCTGGGATGGCTTCCGGGAGATAGACGTGCAGGGATGAGACATCAGACAGACGCCCGCTTCTTTCAGAGGTAGGAAGTAATTACTTAGTGTGATAGGTATGCTGGCGGGCTGGCCGGAGAGGGCAGAGGTTGGCGGGCGGGACTAGTTTGCGAACGAAGTGTACTCCGTACGAATGGAATAACTACTGGCGACCGGGACTGGGTGCGCGGAAGATCTAGACTATGACACTGGCCAGAGGCCTAGCGCGGGATGGATGCGAGTAAGAGGGTCTGCGCTATATTCTCGTGTCCGTGGAACATTCGGGGAAGACTTACACTAGGAGGCATGGGGGCACGCAGGCTAGTCTGGGCTGGAAGAGCGTTGCGTAGGTATCGGAAGAGCCTGGCACACTTGGTCAAGCGCCAGAGTTGAACAGAGGGGCGCGGTGAACGGGATCTAAGCTTCACTTGACCTTGACGAATAGCTTGGCAAGCGTGGATGGTGATTTGCAGGAGGACCGCCAGGCGATCGCCACCATCAAAACCCTCTTCGCCTCGCCGTTTAGGGGCGGGGCATATTGACGTTGTGGGAACTGGGAACCAGGCACGCGGGGAAGGATATGCGTCGTGGAGATGAAATTCGGTGACGTGAAGAGAGAATAGACAAAGCATACGAGACAGAGACAGAGAGGGGGAGAGGTGATGGGGAGGCATCCGGAGCTATCAACGGCGCAGACTTACAATGTTCAACTTGACGCTGTGGCTCAATTGCAATTCATGTCAAGTTCAAGATCACTCGAAACATGTCATACCGCAAAGAAGAGTTTTGGGTTCCTCGAGGCCGCCGATGAGTTGTCCATCTGCAGCGACTGTTGGTGTTGAGTTACATTACAATACCTAGGCGTTCAATCTGATGCATCACACCCACACACCTCTCTCATCGACACTAGGCAAGGTATGGGTGTGGCTTGGGTTTGTGGGCGGTGCTTCGCGGCGCGATGGAGCACAACCGAGAGGCGTAGCATATCGTGAAGCATTTGAGCCGAGAATTGGCTACATGCTATGGAGTAGCCAAGCGGTGAATGAAGCATTGCTGTGTTGTCACGGCTCATGGCAAATTGCTCTGTGTTTTGCGAAGAAGGGAATTACAACTACTTTCATCATCGTCTTTTCATTGCTTCAAGGGCCATAGATTCAAGCGAGGTGCTCAGTGTTCGCTAAACCCCAACTTAATTTCAGCCAGGTGTAATAAGGGATACACAACCACTATTGCCGACTTATCACGGCAGGATAGAAAAAGTTTGCGACAAATTGTCGATTCAATTACGTTAAAGCTCAAGTAGGGGATCTCCCCCTCTCCCTCACAACTCACCCCGGACTGACAAAATATTCGATCAAACTACTTTCCGTAGCCATAGGAGCCCAGAGAAGTGCCTAGGTAATAGTAGCCGCATCTCAATCTTCGCACGTCATTTTCCCGTGCTGTTAGCCTGCGGCAGCGCGAGGGCTACACCAACTTGGCTCAGCCACACAACCAGTCCCTCCCTCTCAACTCTGCCTGACAGGGCATTTTCTCATCCCCCCACTCACTCACTCACTCATTCGCTCACACACTTGGTTGCTCACAATGTTTGCTGCTGCGGTTCACGGTAGCAACTCGAATCCACTGCGGCCCGTCCGAGTCCCTCTTCCCTACCGATACGCCATCCGTCATTGTGCGACCCGGTCACTTTGTTTGGGGTGAAGCCATCTCCATCTCATTGCGCTCGATTCTTCTTCCCTCGTGGAAAGAGAGAAGACAGTCGCGGATAGCGGCTTCTGGCGCCATTGTAACCGCTGACGCCGAGAATGGATGACGGGGGATCGTTGCCAATGGGCGCTTACTGTTACTGGGATTCGCTCCCAAAGTGCTTCTAGCCGAGCAACTCAAAGTGCCAGTAATTCCGTTGCCTAAATCCAACACTTTATTGAGGGAACTTTCTATGAGCTGACTGAAGCTGTCTCACAAACACCCCTTTGCCCGTCAAGAACTGGCACGAAACATCAAATTCCATACTATTCGGAAAGCACATGGATATTGAGAATCCTCCTCATCCGTCACAACAAACTTGGCCAAATACTGCCCAGTCTGATGAAGCCCGGATGCCCCCCCTAGGCTCACAGCTGAGCCTCTGTCCCCTGCAACCCAGCCGAATGGCGCACCACCATCATTCTTCTACTTCATAGCCATTGGCTCCGCCAGACCACCTTCGAGACCTCCTCCAGGCTGCCAGTTTGCTGTGCTACCAAACCCCGGCTGCTGCTGAGGGCCCAGTCTTATCACGTTCCCACGCTTAGATCGTTGGCGTTAGCTGCTTGTTGACCCTTGCTCTGTGCCGGCTCCCGTCTATTCTCTGGGGCCGCCCATTCCCCTCCCTCCCACCCTCTCTCTCTCGCAGCAGCAGCACGGCGGCGGCGCCACGGCGAAAGGCACCATCTTTCAGCCCATTGATAGCCTGGTCGTCCCCCTCACTTCATTGCCAAAAGTACTGGTCTATCCTCCCCGTTGTCCATCATGTCTCTCGCTTCAACCTGAGTCTTTTGCCTCAATTTCTCGTCAGACACTTGGCATTTAACAGAACTCACCATCGATAGGGCCAAGTTCCCTTACCCACCTCACTTACACGCTCTACGACGCTCTACTTGACGAGGCTGTCGCAGCCAGCCTCCAACTCGAGCTTCATGTCAGCTTCACCTTCAAGTTCGCATGCGACCCAGACCGGTCGCCCTTCACTTTGGAATGACTCGGCCGAGCGCAGATTAGCTAGGCTCTATGTCTACACGACCTTACCCCTCACCAAAATTGTCGAAGTCGTTCATAAGGTGACTCCGGGAAAACGAGACTGCCCAGGGTAAGCTTAGAGATTGGTTTGCGCTGGCGCAAATGCGATTGCTGACACCAGCGCTTGCTTACTAGAAAGGATTCAGCCAACAAGAAACTGAACTCAATTCTCGACAAAGAGCCGCGATGGCTTCACCCACGAACCCGGACGGACATGGACCGGCGCATAAGCGCCCTCGATAACTCCCCAACTCGCCAGAACACGCCCGAGAACGCATTTTCGCCGAACTACTCTCGCTCAATTTCTTCCGGCGCCCGATCGCATCTGAGCGTACACCCCGATTTCAAATACGAAGGCGGCAACAGCCCAACAGTCAACGACTTTCAACCCTTTCACCATTCGCGATCATCTTCCGCTGGATGGGGCCCGCCGGCCCCGGGGCCGCTTCCGACATTGGTGACCACCGATATTGCGTCCGTGCCGCCGCCCGAAGCCGGAATTCACCGGCAGACCACGACACAAACCCTGCAGGATGTGCTTTCACAGTATTCAACTGGATTCCGTCACCAAGTCAGTAGACTGTTGAAGCGCTACACGATGCCGAGCAACACGATGATGAACCAATCACCGACGGACGATGACCGGCCTGGCACCGCCAACTCTAACCCAGCATCGTGGATATTCGAATACAATGCGCCACAGAGAAACTCGGAATCACAGGCTGCACCCCTGCCCGGCGACTACCTCAACCTACCGTATCACCTCCTCAAACAAGGCTTTTGCTCCGAAGGGCTTGCGGAGCATGATTCGCGATCATGCTTCTGCCACGTACGAGACGAG